AAACCCTCGTTATTACATGTTACATACAGTGTTTTCTACGTAAGTTCGCATCATATGGGCAACTTTTTATGATACAGTTTAGAAAAGAAAGATATTCTTCAATAAGTTCTGCTTGGATCAAACCCTAAAACGCAATCATCAGATTTTTTTCGATTCGTATTCGAGGTATATTAGAAAATATGATTTTTGCTCAATAATAAAGCACCTTCAATTTTGATATCGAAAATTTTTCAAAAAAAGTACTATTCGTACTCGCTCAGACTAACTGGTAACTAAAGTAACTAGTAATCGGATCCAGTAATCAGTACTAGTACGTACCGATACGATTACAGAAAAACTTAGAGGAAAACCGCCACATAGAGTAATAAAAGGATTCCATGGACAAAACAACAAAATACTGTGCAATATTTACCTAATACGGTTATCCAGAGTGTCAATTTGAAAGCTTCCCACCCTTTTTACAATCTACAATTTGATTTGTAAGACGGACACGTTAAATTAACATTTTTAGCCTCCTTGTTTCAACCCCCTAGCAGGGGTAGATGTCACCCTTAGAATCTTAAATGGGAAGGGGGGTCAAGCGGCACATCGTTTTAAAGGGCGTTCAATTACCTTTATATTAGTTACTACGTAGTTGCTTTTTGTCCAGAGGTTTCCGAATAATCGCGTGTTGGGGTCCTTGACTTGTTTTGTGCTACTCTACACTCCCATGTTCTGTGTCAATAAGGTTGTGAATCACCCTGTATATCATCACTATTTCTACTATCATTGCACATTTTTAATGAAAATTTTAAAAAGTAACATGTTACTTTTGGAACCGCATATTAAAACCTATTACCAAAGTTAAACTGGATTGGACCTGTTACAGAAAAATAACCGTTTATCACACCTCTAGAACTAATATGCTCGAAATATGTCCTGGGAGTGCTTGCTTGTGACATCCAAAATCCTACACTTATTCTATGTATTTATAATTGAGCAATCAGTAAATAAACTTTTTCCAATCCCAATAGCTGACATTAGGAAACATACAGTACCCTTTAAGCGCTTCAAATTTTCAAGCCTGGAATTTTGTGATATTGTTGTGCTTGCCTCGAAGTACTAGCTATAATTCACTACTTGTTTTTTACAAGTATCCGTAGGAGTACAAGGAAAAATCGAAATCCCGAGAACGGTGAAAAGAGTGAGACTGGCCGCGCTAGATATCGAGGAGTTTTTAGGGCATCTAAACCAAAAAACGTTTCTGAGACCTTTATTTTGCACTATGGAAAACGTACAACTTCATCCCTATACACTGGGCAAACTTTTAATGAAAACGTGGCATTTATTACGCAACACTGGCTAATAAATCATTCTCTTCTTGCAATACGTGCCTAAATAAATTAAAAATAAGGTCTACTTTAGATTTGTGCGACTTTGTCTAGTCTATATTATAATAAATACATGGTCTCTTAAGCAGTGGTTCATGTCAAGATCGCCAGGGATTCATGGCAAGCATGCCTACTATAATTTATTAATATAACAATTAATGGCAAAATGTAGAAGAGCTTTCCCCAAATCCTTTAGCTATATTTATTATTATTTTATATTCTCCAGCTTTGTTTTCCTGTAATTATTTCCCACATTTTGAAAGTGGTTTGCGAATACAAAAATGTTAAGAAATCCTCCCAGGGAATCAAAGTTTTATGAATTTTGGAAACTAAATAATAACATTTTAGCAAGATAATAATGAAAATTACATTTTTTAATTGCACTATAGACTTTTAAAATGTTATATTTCTTTGGCAATAAAAATAAAACTATATAGAATACATTAATTACTTTTTAAGAACATTAATGTTATAATTTTATTTCAATTATAGGATTTGCAATAAAGCAGGCTGGTTAATGTTCGCTAAGAGAGGTAAAAGCATTTAAAATTTGCCTATTAGTCATTTGGGATGCAAGAGGTATTGAATGAGTCACTTTTCATTAAACAAAACGTAGATATCTATATCCACAAACTTGTAGTTTTAATTCCGGTACATTACATACGCAAGAATTTAATAAACAAGGATATGTCTAAAATGTTAAAATAGGAACAGGAAGCTCATATGTTCAAATCCAATGGCCAGCACTCTTGGCCAAGGAGTGGCAGATAGGTCTTGAGAGCGTGCAGAACTGTTTGAACCAGTTGCGATGTGCACTTTCGATTGTCTAAATACTTGTTAGTCATTAATTTAAATGTGTGTAAATAGCTAGGATGTTATTGATATTTAAAGACTGTTGGATATTGTACATTGAAATGCATGCGTTACCAGTTCTTCACATTATTTGTTTCATCGTACGTTGGAACTCGTAACTAGATCTATCGAAAATTATTTGTTTTTACCTTTTGATAAAGAGTTCGTTCCTTAAAAACAGAGTACTTAAACAAGAGTACACCTTATCAATCTCTAATAGAAGACGTGATGAATTCTGTCTTTTTAAACGGCCCAAATTTTGTGGCTACGAAATAATCATTTTTTTAAATTATCCGCCGAGAACAAAGCATAACTATTTTCGGTCAGATTGTCGGGATAAAGTTTGGAGAAAAAAATACAGTATTAAAAATGGAAAATATTTGTTCTACAATGATGGAGACGAGAATTCTTTATGGGGGGGTGCATGTCATCCAATGAAACAGACAATTTAGTTTTCATTGACGGTGTTATAGACTACTATGTCTTTTTAAATATTCAACTGTACAAAATATCAGACTGTAATAAAGTTACAATAGTTCCTAAGCAATGTATAGATACTTTTTGTATATAACTTCTCGTTGCTAATATCATTTTCATTTTTATTGTTCAAATAAAGTGTTTTAAACTATTTCACATTTAATGCAATTACTTGTAAGGAGACCAATGAAACTTATATTTAAATCTTCGACTTTAAAAAGTCTAATTAAATTTCAATAAAATAGCAAACTCAAGCTATATATGTTTAGATGAAACAGCTTTGTCGTGTTTAATTTCTGAGTAAGTTACTTGATTGTATGTATTTATTACAAAATCGCGCAAATCGTGCTCATCGTTTTAAAATTATTTACACAATGTAATATTACTAAATGACTAAAATTCATTATATACAATTAAACTTACTTAAGAACATTTGTCGCTTTATACTCGAACGTTAACATTCAAGAACGCACAAACGTTATATATTACAATTAATTACAACATAAATCTTACTGATATCAAATCAATAAGAAAATAATATATACAAAATCTGCTGCGACACGAAAAAGCTCACAAAGGTAAAATGATAAGCATTTATCACGGATTAAAATAAAACGATTTAATAAATGTTTTGCAATAAAGCAAATAAAAGTTATTGCAACCCAACTATGATATGAGAACACTCTTTAACAAGTCGCTTCGAGAAATACAAACGCCAATTACATCTAAAGTTGTCGATTCTAAATAAAAATGCGCCCATTATAAATAAATGTTTTCCAATATTTCCATACAAAGACTGACTTATCAGATTTCTGGACCACTGGACTTTTTGAAAATTCAGTACTATAGAACTATTAATCTACATGTAAGTAGACCAAATATTTTTTATACTCTGTTACTAAATAGTGTATTATTTTTATATAAATAATTTATCAAAATA